GCTGCCATCCAGAAAGCAGCCCAGGAGGAGAGCGAAGCCTCCACGAGCAGCTCCGGGGCTGCAAACCCACCGCAGCAGGTTGCACCGCAGGCGATGCCGTTACTGCGGCCGCAAGCAGGAGCCTCTGTGGGCAGCGTGCGGCCCCAGCGCAGCGCCGGGGGGCTGCGGGGGAGCGAGGCCAAACCTCCAGCTTCCTTTAGACTTGCAAGAAGCAGATTTTGAAAGAACATCCTCCTGCAAGCGGGGTTGCAGCGGGTTGTGCAAGGCCATTCCCGGCAGTGTCATGGCCTGCGCCGGTGGAGCCGGGGAGCGGGAGCCACTGCCGAGTCGGAAGATGGAGTTGGAGCCCCCCGGGCGCCCGCCGCTGCCGGGGAAAACTCAGAGGTAACAAATCGCTCTGTAAATAGGGCCCAAAAAAAAAAGGAGCTTCCCAGCAGCATCCCCCCCACCGCGTCTTCAGCCCAATGCTTTGCGCCACAGCAAGAGGCAGGGCGGTAATCCCGGGGTAACGAGGGGTAAAACGGGAGGCTGAGATGGGGCGAAGAGGGGCAAAGCCTGAAGTTGCACAGCGAGTGACGTCCCCAGCAGAAACCGGAGTTTTTCAAGAAAGCCAGCATGGTTTCGGTACCGCTTTGCGGCAGCAGGGTCAGCGCTGCAGGTTTGCACCGAGCCTGGCCAGGACCGGGAAGCGAAACCCCCAAACGGGGCTGCGGGTGGCTCCTTCCCACTGCTCGCCTCCTTACCCGCTCCGTGCTTTTCCCTCCCCACATACAGACCCCCTGTCCTGTCCCCCGCGGAGGGTGTCGAAGGCTTTTCCTGCTCTCATCCCACCATCGTGTCCCGGCAGCACCTGATAGGGACCGCAGGGCAGGCATGACCCCATCTGTACACCCCCCGCACCATGCAGGCGTGCGCCAGTGCACGTGAAGCCCCCCAGGGCAGCCCCCAGCCCTCGGGAGCAGCAGCACCCCTTCTCCAGTGCGGCCCCCGCCCCCCCCGCCCCCATGCCGGCCGCCCCGGGGGGCCACCCGCCTCGGCCCCCCGACTCGGCCCTCATCTACAGCAACGTGGGTGAGTGACGCCCCGACCCCGCTGTCACCTCAGACGGTGGGGACGAACCCCACTGCTGTCCCCATCCTCCTTCCGCGGTACCCGGCCATCACCCCTCCGGCAGGCGTTGGGCACGGTTTTGGGGCTGGGAATACGCAGTGGGGCAATTAACGATGTGCTTGCACCCTCGTCCCACTCCATCTCCCACTTTCTTCCCCCGCCCCTTCCAACTCCCCCCTCGGGGAAGTCTCAGCCCCGCCAGCTCTGTTCCTCCCTCCCCAGGAGAGCTGCGGGCCCACCTTGTCCCCCGCAAGGCCAGCCGAGGGGAAAGAGCCGGGAGACCCCCCTCTCAGCCCAACTGCGACCCCCTGCCTCCCCCATTGCCGAAAAAGCAACTCCAGCGAGCCGAGTCCCTCCCGGAGCAGGGGCTATCGCAGCACTATCGGGGTGACCCCACAACATGGGCCAGCAGCATCCTCCACAGCACCCCACTGCCGCACGTGGAGGGGGGTCCCAGCTGCATCCCCCCACGGGACAGACCCTCCTGGGGACCCAAGAAGCCCCTGACCAAGTCCCAAAGCCTGGGGGAACCGGTGGCCTGGAGTAGCCCGCAAAAAGCCCCATCGCCCAGCCCGGCAGAGCTGACATTCTGGACGGCGGACGGGGAGCCGGGGCAG